CTTTAATTAATCTTGCGGCATGATTGCACCATTGTCCAAAAGAGCAATCAACTGGATCCTAAAAAGAAAAACCACAAGAATTTTAGACATTTGAGCAATAGGTCTCAGGGGTGGCTCATCCAGTAAAAGTGTCTTCTCTGAGTGTAGGACATGCACTGTACATCTAAGAAATTCAAAACTGTACTGTATTCCAGACCAGGCAGTAGCTAAGTGGTCAGTAGAGCCCACTGGTGATAAAATATGATTGACCGACTGCTTCTTGCGTTTGGCAGGGTAAAGATGACCACTGTCTGGGCAGCTGTGATAATAACCTGGCTGTTATCATTGAGGGCTGAATTTGTCTCGCCCACAAGCCTTGTTGTTTTATTCTAGGACACAAAGAAGCAGATCGCTTGTAAACGTGCTTGGCGGCCATGCACCTGTGTGTTGTCTTCCTGTTTCCCAGAGTTCTGTATTGGTGGAAGAGAGACATTTAGCAGTACATTATCCTGAAGAAGAATAATGAATATTTGCACATTGAAGGGCTGGTACAGAACGAAATTAAAAAACTGCTGAAAATGATGTTCTGTTTCTTAACTGAATTAAGGATGGTATAAACAAGCGGAAAAGAGGAAACATAATTAAAAAATACACTTTATTATATATTATTGTAATATATGTTATTTATTATAATACGACATAATATTTTATTTTTTCTGTTTTCCTAGGAGCTTGGAGAAAATGGTAAAGGCAAAGATTTTGTGAGCCTTGGATTAGAAAATGGATACCTCGTCTTCAGGTACAAAAATGTGTACTCTGATATTACTATAAATTTGTTATATATAATAATGTTATAATGTTTCTTTATTAGCCCTATACAATTTCTTGCATTAGGAATTGTGAGCTTTAAGTATATTCCATTGTAGATGGACAGGGTGGCCTTCTCTTGTAGAGGGAGGTGAGAGTTTGTCATTAGAAACCATATACAAAGTTACATATTTTTATGTTCTTGGAGATTTAGTGAGTCTAATGAAGAAATCGAAATAAAGATGAATGTAGACTAATTGGATACTAGCAAATGAGCTACATTTTATTTGTAACCAATTCCCCTTACCCATGCCAGTATTAAAATTACATTGAAAAAAAACATTAATAATTATAAATTACTTTTTTTCTGATGTTTACAGCTACCAACTAGGCAGTGGCGAGGCTGAAATAAGATCTGAAGTTCTGGTAAACGATGGGAAATGGCACAAGATCACTGCAGTAAGGTAGGCTTCCCACAGTTACTGATGAGATTCAGGAATTCTGGGTTCACAACAATTCTAATACATTTGATTAGTTTATACTTTATTGTGCCTTCAAAGGAAACACATGGTCTCTGTCTTTGAAGGTAATAATGGGCTGCTATCATTTTTATATTATATATAGTTGTGTGTAATATGTACTTTTAAATAATATATGCAGTTAGAATATAAATTAGTAAAAGAAGCTCTCAAAGCACTGCATATAGCAGAAACATAAAATGCTAGAAAATAAATTACAGTAAATGGATCAATTACAAGCTCCAATGGGTTAGGCAGTGAACCCCACATTCACGGTGCTGTACAAGAGGAGTCTGTGCCATTCATTAAGAACCATCGTCTGTGGCAAAGTAAAAAAAGCCTGAATCATCAGATTTCCGATTGAGCTGCACCATTCGCAATAAGAGATATAACCATGCAGATAGACCATGGTGTTGCTCAGAATTCAGTGAAGTTGATGCAGTTTACACAGGACAAGTTATTTAATAGTTGTTTTTACTCCGTGTTGTGAGAACAGCTAAACTAACTACAGAAAAGTCCTGCCGCAGGTTACCTTTGGAAAATTCTGTTGCACCCATGGTTTAATATCACACTGGCTCCTGTAAAATTATTTTCTGATTTAGTTTGCAGATACATCTGTGTGTCATCAGCATAACAGTGGAAGAGTGGTGTGACTTGGGCAACCTGTTAAATGATGAAAAAATCCAAACTAGCTAGGCAGTTAGTCACAGGACAGGGTACTTAAATCACAGAGAAGTCAAATATTTATGGTTTAAGGTTGCACAATATTAATAGCTCAATAAAACCCTGGTAGGTTTAAAAGAAAGTGAACCACAACTATCAGCAGGTGATGTGATTTTTAAAAATATCAAATTCATGCGTTCAAAAGCACTGGAACAACAGCACTTTGTCTGGCAAGAAGAGACCGACAGCCTACTGTATTTCCTCCCTGAAACAGGACTGGGCGGCAGGGTTCCATTCAGATCGATGGAGGTCAACCCGTGAGAGGAGAATCAGAGGGCAGAAACGTCATGGTGGACACCAAAGGCAATATCTACCTGGGTAAATCCACATTCGATAGCACCTGCTCCTGGCTTTCCTGCTGCAGCTCTTTCTGTTCATCCGGACATCTGCGCTAAACTCTGCCTGTCACAAAAAGCGGGGGGGGATGGAGCTTTGTTGGAAAACAAAAAGTTATCTTACAAAGTGACTATAATGTCCACCTTTAATGTTCGCTTTTTTGCTCAATGCTTTTCTATGCCAGACATGAAGGCAAACTCAGAATCAGAGTTCGGTTCTCAAATCCTTCAAATCACAGATTTCTAAAGGCCTGGAACAATTGAACTTGGATCAGTAAGAGAGAATTTACACTGGTGTGTTCAATGAACTAATGAACATCGCCGCCATGGAGCCAAGAGGGGCATCATGGATCTAGCTATCGTTTAGGAGGATTTTGCTGGTCTACAGAGATCTGCATGGAGTACTGACATACAGAAGACATGGTGGATGGATGGATTAATACCTCCATTCATTAATTTCTTTTTTTTTTAATTGGATAATGTTAGCATGCCCAAAGGGGTTGGGCAGCCAGTTTGACCTTGGATCCCTAGAGGTTTTTTTCCTCCTTGCTAAGGAGTTTTGGGTTCCTCTCCTCTGTTGTCTTCTGGCCTTTTCTGTTCTGTATTTACAACATGTATGGTCACTTGCTTTGTTAAGCGCCTTGGGGTAACCTCGTTGTGAAAGGTGCTATATCAAAATAAATTGAATTGAATCATTTGGACTAAAAATCTGAATATCCTTTAGCCCTGAAGAACTAGAAACATTACTTCATCAAGCGCTCCTAATATCTACCTAGGAAGTGATTGAGGATGACCTATGAGACTAACTGGATTGAGGCTCTCCAGGAACCAGTGTTGGAGCCCTCTGCTGTATTGTACAGCATGTCATTGTGACATCTTGGAGGATTTTTTTAAATACCTCTGTATTTTAAATCAGTTCCTTCTGTAGGCAATGAGGTACACTGGAGGTCACACTAGGCTTCAGGGGATCTCTGGCTCGTGGGAGAGTGAGTTTGTTCACTGTAGCACCAGTGCTGGCGGGGAAATGGACATTCGATGGGCTTCCTCTCACTTGGGGCCCTCCTGATGTATGGAAGATAGATGCTTTATTGTCCACTGCTGTGGATATTTTATATTTGGCGTCTCCCACACAAGCAACACATAAGCGTCACATAAAATCACATGAAATCACAACAGTAGAATGTTATGTCATGTCATAGTTTGACAAACTGCTTTATACCATACGGTGTCTCGGACAGCCGGAGCCTACCCAGCCAGCAACGAGCGCAAGGCAGGGTACACCCTGGACAGGACGCCAGTCCATCGCAGGGCAAGCGCAAGCCGATCATACATGGGGACAATTTGAAGGCCACGGTAAAGGCCGAGGGGGGAAATTTGGCCTGGACACCAGGATAACTCCCTGCTCTTATCGAGAAATGCCCAGGGATCTTTTATGACCACTGAGAGTCAGGACCTCGGTTTAACATCTCATCCGAAAGACGGCACCCACTACAGTATTGTGTCCCCGCCACTATACCGGGGCATTAGAACCCACACAGACCGCAGGGTGAGCGCCCCCTGCTGGTCCCACTTCCACTTCCAGCAGCAACCATAGCTTCTCAGGAGGTCTCTCATCCAGGTACTGACCAGGCTCAACCCTGCTGAGCTTCAGTGGGTAGCCAGTTGGGAGCTACAGGGTGATATGTCTGCCAGCGGTACAACAGCAGCAGTATGTGATACATAATTAAATGGATACATAAATAGGTAGAGAGGGGAATACATTTACATACCTTCATTGAGTATTTTTATTGCAGAGGGGTCAAAGGACTTCTTCGGAAGATCTTAGGAAGATCTTCGGGGCACTAGCTAGCCTTGACACCCAAGTTGCAATACTGTGTTTTGTGGGTTTCTGGATATTTGTTTGTGAAGAATTGTTTCGCTCTTTTTTTTTGTCACAACCAGGGGGGGCCCCAGATATCGCCACCCTGACGGGGGGGAAGTTTGCGTCGGGAATCACGGGGTGCCTAAAGAACCTGGTGCTGATGAACGCCCAGCCCGGAGAGCAGCCCCCGCGACCCGTCGACCTGCGGGTCCACGCGGAGGAGGGCGTCAACGTCAAGAAGTGTTCGGCATAGGCAAGCACAGGAGCCAAAATCAGAGACTTCGGCCAGAGAGACACACACACACACACTCACTTCCACACACACTCATCACCCTCGTACGACAAGGAAAGAGAAAACGGTGCTTAGCTGCTTGCCAAAAACGACAACAACAACAACAACAACAAACACAAAACCTAAAAGGTTTGCCTTGTGCTCTGTGTTGCGCAACACCAAAAAAAAAAGAGATATTAACAAGTCTTCACAAAATCCTCCTCAGTGTTGTATAATAATGAAGGACTATTAAAAGAAAAGATCCTGTTTGGTTTACACTCTGCCCGATGTAGCCATACAAAAAGACGATGGGCCTTCAACCAAGAGGTCGATCTAATGGAGATGGAGATGTTTTTACAGCACTGAATTTTATTTTTTTTATATTATATATATGTGGGGGGGGGATGAAACTAACCATATACTGCTCTTCTGTTTCCTAGACTGAATCTGGGTTCTAATACTGTGTTTTGATGGCTTTGTGGCCTAGTATTGTTAATACTTGAAGACGTTTAGGCCCACTCGACCATGCCCTATCTTCCCCCAGAACCATTCAGTGAGCATGCTCAGAGCTTGAACCCAAAGGAAGCCCAAGTCGCAGCACAGCAGCAACGAGACACATCTCAGGTGGATAAACGAAGCAATAAAAAATACAGATGGTGCTTTTTTTTTTTTGCCAAACCACTCTGCAGGACATTTGCCTTCCAGTTCCTCAGTGCTTTTGGGTTGTCCGTTCCTTCTCAAGTTAAAGGTGGTTAAACCCCATCCAGTGGTGCTAAGGTTAGAAATGTCAGCCGATTGACACAGACTCTTGTTACTGATCTCTGTAACTTCGGTAACTGTTAACAGTGTTAGATTGACGTTTTAGAGACTTAAATTTTTTCCTGCCCGACCGATATTATTAGCGCAATTAAAAGAAAAATCTTTAGGGACTTTTAAGTGTTTTTTTTATTGTAATGTTGACAATCTAGAAGGCTTCCTTTCCAAAGAGCCATATATGTGTGACACTACCAAGCAAATAATTTTTTCGAGAGGATTTCAAAGACTCAAAAGAGGTGTAAAGAATTTCTCTTTCACTTATAGAAGATGCCTTCTTTTATTGCTGAAAAAATGCTCTACTAAATAAAATAGAGAAAATGGTGTGATCTTTTTCAAAAAATGTAAACATTCATAATATATCTGCTAGCCAGATAAATTCATTTATCACAAGTTTTTCCTTGTTTTTCTAATTTTTTTTAGCTTTTCTCTTTTTTTGTGTCACAGAAGTGCCTTGTAATGTAAACGTGATCACTCAGTCCCCCTCTTTATCCTTCAGTTTCATACCCTCGTACACGTACTCTTTTTGTTCTTCCTTTCCTTCTGCGTGAATCATTTTTCTGTGTAAAAACCTCAGGAGGGTCAACTACAAACTGCCTCAGAAGACACTTTTCAGTTTCAGGGTCACTCGTCTCAGACTAGCCATAGGAAAGGTCCTATTCAGAAACTTTAGCCAGTTCCATTATCAAAAACCACCAACCTAGCTGTGTGTGTTTGTCGTGGGAGAGTGTTATCCATGACACTAGTGCAGTAGACCTACAGACAGTCATTGTAGTACAGTGTTAGTGTTTCCAGCAGTGCTGTGACCAAACTTCTGAGTACCTTATCTTGCTTGAGCATGCTTACCAACAATGGTTAATTATTTTCAAATGGCAGTTCATTTGGGGTTCACAAGCTAGTCACTTTGTTTTAAATGCTAGGATATTCAATTTCTAAATGAGCACTGTCATTTCACATCATGTTGCTTAATTTTATTTCCACTGCAGGCTTGTCTCTGCCACTGTTGAGTTGTGGAATGACTGACTCTTTTCTTCTCATAAATGTGTACTGACCCCTAGATTCTGTCTCCCTTATGTGTGTAGACGTTTAGAGGAGTTAGCAGCCTGAATTCTGGTCACTTTCTTAGGGGGTTTCAGCACAACTCCATCCCAACTGAACCTCATATTACACCACTGTGTTTGAAAGAAAGGGCTCATCGCCTGTCCAGTGAATCCTTTCCACTGTGGCACTCTGAAACCGACACAGACTTCCATTCCAGAGAAATACTACAAAGAAGTATGCCAATTCCAGTAATATGAAAAGAATATTTCATCACGTCCTTACAAATATTTCGGGAGGTTTCGCAGTTATACTGTGTATAATCTGATATACATGAGAAAAAATTGTATTTTGCCCTCCACCCAAGGCCAAAACACTTAAACAGATCAATCCTACACAGAAAGAAAAAATCCTATGCAGTTTACATAAACAGTAACCTGCTAGCATGGTTTCAGGTTTAAAACATTTGATACCAGGTCTCCTTTAAATTTAGCCAGTTTTATTAATCTGGCTCCTGGAGTTTGGAATGTAAATTAAATGAATCTGGACTGCAGGTACAGAATATGGAATTTACTGTATATGTACTGATGTACTACACTGATTTGTGGCCTGAGGAAAACACTAAGGATGTGCTTTTTTGAGCAAATATGAGAAGTATTTTTACTTCTGTGAAGACACCAGCTTCATGGCGCATGGGGACAAACACAATAATTGCCTGTAAATAAGTAGAAAAGGGCAAAAACAGATATACCTGAGTATTACAGCACTAGCCAATACAGAGAGACCTTCAGATAGTCCTGGACAATCAGAGCAGCACTTTGCTCAAGAGTTGTACAATGTCGTGGTTTTGCAGTAAAATTAAAGATACCTTGGTGATGTTACTTGCCGTCGTGACTGTTTTCAAACTTTAACACTTTTCCCTCATAACTTTCAAGCACAGTGGGGGACAAGACAGGAACTCTCTCATAATTCCTGTACAGTATGTGTTATTTCCCCACATGCACCTTCTTGGAAAGAAACATGCCTTGTAGTTATACAGTTATGTGCAATCTCTGTGATATGAATTGGAACTCTAGGTGGGATATATCGTGATTTTGTTAACTCAAACAATTATGGGCAACGAGTGGAAACCCTGACCCTTTTCTGAGAAATTTCTAACACCATTTTAAAATATTTTGGTTCATTTAGAGGGATCTCATTTTTTATACTGTCAGTTAGTCAGTAGTGAATTGAAAACACATATCACAGTAAAGGATCACTCACTAAGTTTCCATAATTCAATAATAATTTGCAGCATATACTATAGTTTACCTTATTGTAGTGTGAATATCTACTGAAATTAGAAATGTACACCGGGTTTTCGTAAACTACTACTGATTGAGGAGATATAAATTCATTTTCTGAAATATATATGGACAGATCCAAAAAAAATATTTTTGAGCATGTCTAACTGTGTTTAGAAGGGAAGGTGTATGACTGCCCTTTGAAAGTGACTCCGATTAAGACGACAATGAACCTAATAAGATTTATTGCAAATTCTGGCACCTAATTTAGTGCAGCAGAATACAGTTAGTAGCCAAGACATGTAAATGAATAGAAAACCTCTATATTAGATCTTTTACCATCCCTAAGTGTGGTCTGTCAGCACACAAGTGTGGGCTTAGAGTCTCCCAAAACCGTGATTGCTTAACTGTGCAGAAATAGAAGTAATTTAGAAAAATATGAGTACGAAGTCCTTAAGAACAGGAGACATTGACACTTCCTCTCTTTAACCAATAGGTCCTCTTTTTCCCTTATATTATTTAAAAAATGACTGCATTGTGTATGTGTCTGATTTATGACTCAAAACATTGTATTATACAGCATTCTCAAGGTTGAGAACTGCATAGAAAAAATGGTGAAAAAACTGCTGTGTAACCCTTCTGTGCTTTTTCTTCTTCCAATGTCTGAAGGATTTAACCTAACCCCCCTGGTGTTTCTTAATTAAACAATACATGTGCTATTTATAATCTTGGTATGTTTTTTGTTTCATTGGCGAAACATTTTGCTATTTTTTTTAAAGTATCCTGCATTCCTTAGATGTTAAAATAGACGTCATCAGAAAGACTCTATTGAGCGTTTTATGTTGTCATTTAATACTAGGAGAAACTGAGGCATTAGTAATTCTAAATGAATGCACCATTGTAGTTAAAGCATGATACCTGTAGAATAGAATGGCAATGAGTTCACTTAACATTCTGTTGTTTCCACTGACGCATGCATCAGGGATGTACAGTAGAGCCTAAAACTAAACTTTCTGTGTCTTTCAGAATGTTTACACTGCAGTATTTTAAAATCTGTATGTACAGTGTTGTTGCTTCTGGCTCCAAACCAAACAGGAGTCTTGTGCACCTCAGACCAGGGGTTTCGGAGTCGGTTGTAAAGGAAGTTAAAAGGCCTGTATGGCACCAAGAATAAGGACCAGGACCTTTCAAAAAGAACAGCTCTTATACCAACAAGAATTTAGTTTGAAAGGTTGCTAAGTTATAAAGCAACAGGTTGTGTAGAGTGCCATTGCTTTTTCTAACAAAAATGTCCCCATACCATTAATCAGATCAGCTCTCCGTGAGAACTGGGGGAATGCCATAAAATCTACTACCTTCATCATGAAATACAGACCTTTTTTTGAACGCAGCAGTAAAAAAACAAAAGAAAGAAATGGTTCTTCTCCATCCCAGGCAAATTACAAATCTGGGCTGTTTGAAAAGAGTGGTGATTTCTTTTTCCTTTTGACAGAGCTGAAATGAAGAAGCACAAATGCTTCTACTTTCTAACCTCAGTTTAACGTAACGGTAGAGTAAAAGCTGAGGGCCGACCATCAGGGGGAGCAGGGCAGCTGGATCACCATGTCGAGAAGGGTGTGACGCTGGCCAAGACTCCTGTAGAGGATGATTTCGAGTTGGAGTCGAATCGGGAAAGGAGGAAGCTGAAAGAATTGCCCTGGTCTGTGGACTGTGACAGGGCGTGATCGCAGCCATCATTAACAAAGGCTGGGAAAGCACAGAGCAGAGCAACCCAGTCATGCCCAGCTTCAAGTGCGCATGCTTAGAGAATGATAGCAATAACCTCATTTCAATGTTGAAGGGAGCAATATTTTGTCCCATTTTTATTTTTT